AGGAGGTAGGCATTAATGATACTATCAAGATTCAAGTGATGAGGTGGATGAAGACGATAATGAACAAGAAGAAGAGATGGTTAAGCTCTTGAAGGAACTCAAGAGATTCATGATTTCCAAGTGAAACATAAATCAACCAAGAAGAATAGTCCCCCGGTGTGCTTCAATTGTCAAAGAAAGGGGCATGTCAAGTATAAATGTCCTCTTTAAAGAAAAAAGGGAAGAAGGCATTTGTTGCATCTTGGAGCGATGAAGATGATTCCAATGATGAAGATGAAGTAGTCAACCTATGCCTAATGGCCACTCATGAAGATTTAGAGGTATCTTCTAACTCAAATGAATTTAATTCATTTTCTTTTGATGAGTTACAAGATGCTTAAAATAGGTTGTATTTGGGATTTGAGACCATGAATTCCAAATATACAAAATTAATTTCAAAACTCAAAATTAAAGATAATTTGATTTTGAAAGCAAAAGTTGATTTTGAAAATCAAAATGAAATTTTGAAAAATGATTTAGAGCTTTCAAAAATCAAAATAAATTATTTAGAAAAGAAAAATTTTGAGTTAGGAGTTAAGCTTGAAAGCTTAACAAAAGAAAAAGAATTAATTTCTAAAAACAACCTATTATGTTTAAAAATGGCAAAATGCTCACATTGCCATTATCATGGTCATTTGGAACATGCTTGTCCTTTGAAGAAAGGAAAACATTTTAAAATTAGGCAAGTATGGGTTTCGAAAGAAACAAGGGGCTTTGAAACTAACGTCCAAGGATCCAAAGCAATTTGGATAGCAAAATCAAAATAAATGTCTCTTATAGGTGTGTGGGAGCAATGGTGATGAAAAAGATTATATTCAAAATGCTTTAGGCACACATGAAAAAGGAATGGGTAACCTCTAAGCTTAATGCTTTTAATTTTTGGTTATTTGGTTGCTCATTTGATTTTAAGCATGCATGAGTTTTGATTTTAAATGATTATGCATTGTTTTTAATCTCATGTATGTTAAAAAATGGTTATGATGAACATTTTAAATTTTCAATGATTTTTTCATAATTTTTAGTTCATCATAATAAAATTTTGGTCAAAATTGGTTTTAAATGCAAATGATATCTCTCTAACAATTGATATCAACTTTTCAAATACTTTGATTTTATAAATCTTTAAAATTTTTGACCTAAATTTAAATGTTTATGCATGTGGTTTAAATGAAAATGATATCTCTCTAACAATTAATATCAAAAAATTTTCAAATGCATAACCTTTTTATAAAACTTTATGCATATGTACTTAATTTCTACTATTGGTATTGCATAAAGTATTTTAGACTTGGATATATTGAATTTCATGTACTACTAACATGTTTGTTATTCTTTGTTGAAATTCAATTTTGTTTAAGTGTCAAGTTTTTTAAAGCTAAATTTTGTTTGGAATGCACTTATTGAGGGGGAGCTTTGATTTTTCAAATAAATTTTTAATGTCAAATTTATGACTTATTCTCCAATGTTAATTTAGAACTTCAAAGATTGAATTATTTTTGATATAACAAAAATGGGGAGAAGTTTGGTTTGAAAAATTAAATTTCTTAATGAAAAGGGGGAGCTTAACATTTTCATACATTTTCCAACATTTGGTATCTTTTTAACAATTGATATTCTTCTGTTAACAATTGGTATCTTTTTCATTAAACATTTTATTAAGGTGGGCTTTGCCAAAAACAAATTTTCAAATATTTTGTTATATCAAAAAGGGGGAGATTGTTGAATTATGTTTCAATATAACAATTTAAAGGCAAAATGTTTTTGGACTTGAATTGAATTTATTCAAAGTTTTCAAAAGGTTTCAAAAATAATTCAAAGTCCATTAAATTCGGATTTGAGTAAAAATGTTCAGAGGTACCAATACCCCCCAGGGGTATCCATACCCCCGTGAAGGCTAAAATTCCAGAATGCTCATAGGGTACCGATACCCCTAGCTGCAACGACTAGTAACGACTAGTTAATTTGAATTTAATGAAGAAGTACTGATACCCTATGTAGGGGTACCGATACCCCTTATTTTGGGCAACCTTTTTAAGTAGAAAAATCATCCCCAAACGGCTCTAAAATATCCCCAATGGCTATATACGACTTCAAACTCATTCCAAGCTATAAATACAAGCTGAGAACACTTGAAGAAGTAGGAGAACAACTATCCAAGTAATCAAACACAAGAGAAGAATTTTTCATTCTTATTTCATCTTTCTCTTGTAAATATTTTGTTCTTGTGAGCTCAATCTGGTAAACACCTACCTTAGAGAGGTTTTCTTGTTTACATCTTTTATCCTTTTGTAAAGGGGAAAAGTTCTAGCTTATCCTGTGTAAAAGCTAGGGAAAGGTTCTAGTTTAGCCCGGAAAAACTATGGAGTTGTAAGGTTATCTCTTTGTCCTCAAAAGAAAGAGCAAATTAGTGAATTTGTGGAAAATCCTTGGTGAGGAGCTAAGGTAGTGGATGTGCAAATTTTCTATCTTTCAATCTCCTTACTCCCCAAATAAAAAACCGTTCTAACCCCTCTTTGCAAACTATTCCGGTTGGCGATTCGAGCTTCCAAAAATCCCAAAACCTTGTGTCCTTTTAAAAATACATAATTATTTGAATAATTATCTAGAAAGCATTGGTGATGTTTTGGCTAGATTGGAGAGTCATGAGCTTTGATCGAATAGTGTTTAAACCCCTTCAATTTGGCGTCCAATTGAAACAACATATGCAGTGGTCGAATGGTGAGGTACCTTGATGTTTGGTGCGCCTAGATAGCCCACATGCCTTGCACAAGTCTTGCTGGTCATATGAGATGCACATGGTTCCCTAGGAAGCTTATGGTGCAACCTTGAACATGTGATGAAGGGTGGTCATGTGCAACAGCCTTGGGCGTGCGTTGGTCCTCCTCCAAGCTTGCTTGAGTGTGTAGCTAGCTGAGCAAGTAGGCTGGTTGTGAGTGAACCTTCTAGCCGAGACCTCCTTGGCTCTTTAGCACCATTTTCAGCTACCTTCTGCTGCCTATGTTGTCACCTTCAGCAACTTAGTTTCAAATAGTCCACCTAGCTGACTTTACCTAGTCCTTAGATCTTCCAGATGAATTGAGCTTTCCATTGCTTTCTACGAGCTGCCATATACATTGTGAGCTAGTTGTGAGCTGCTATAGGGTGACAATCAATCTACCAAGCTACCATAATGTGTGTCGTTCCTTTATGTACCTACATGTGTAAAGAAAACAAGGTAAATCAAAGTGATTAAGCCGAATAATGCAAATGCATGCTGCCATGTGTGAATACATGCTTGTGAATTAAAGAATGACATTATGTGCTAAGTTTAAGATGATATTATATTAAGGAGATAATATATATAAATTGTCAGCTAAATTGAATTAAAATGAGCTAAAAAATAAAGGATTAACATGTTGCCATAGTATGAATGTAATGAATTCAATCTAAATAAATGTAAAACTAATATGAATCAATAATATACTTAATAATGAGTTGAAATACATCATGCATCAAGTAACATAAAGATGTGATTAAAAATAAACTAGTTACTTAGTCATAAAATACATAATTAGTAATCTAAACATGAATTATTCACCATATGTTAAAGATAGATTATGAATGTAAAGATGATCAGAATAATATAAAAGAAGTAAAAGAATATAAAGTTTAAGAGGACTCCTTTGAGTGCTAAGGAAAGGATGGTTGTGAGTGGTGATAACGAGCTTGCATTATTTCTCTTATCTAGTGGTCCTAAAAAGGGATAAAAATAAAAGAGTTTCACACAATGTAATTAGATTATGCAAATATATATAGGGTAAACTTTCTAAATGACCATTTAACTATGAGTTACTATCGTTATGGCCATCATACTTTTAATTTTGTTAATATGACCACATAACTATTTAAGTGGTTTCAATCAAGTCATCCACAGTTAACATTTAATAACATTAAAGAAGTGCTGATATGGTAGTTAACAAAAATTGACATAATTATACAATTAATCTTCGATATTTACATATTCCACTAATTTTGTCCTAATTTTAATTTAATTAAAAAGGTGTCACGTCCACCAATTTTGTCCTAATTTTAATTTTAACTCTCCAATTAAGAGGTGTCATGTGTCAACAAATTATTATGACACATTTCACTGCTGACACGTGTCACCAATTGATTGGTGGAAAATCCATTCAATTAAAATATAAAATTAATTAAAAAAATCTTCAATTAAGTGGTGATATGAGTCACTACAGAACTGTGTCACAATAATATGTTGACAAGTGTCACTTCCTAATTAGATAGTTAATTTTTTGAATTAAATTAAAATTATAACTAAATTTATAGTATAGGTAAGTACTAAGGGATAAATGTATAATTATGTCAATTTTATTAGCTTCTACATCAGTACTTCAGTTAAATATTAACGACAAATAATTTGATTGAAATCACTTAAATAGTTATGTGGTCATATTGACAAATTGAAAGTATGATGGTCATACCGACACCAACCCCATATTTTTTTTTTGATTTGTTAAGTGATCATTTAAATAGTTTACTCTTAAATATATAAGATAAAAAAATTAAAAAAAAGAATTGAAGCTTCGTTTGGAAATGCTTCTCCAAACGAGATTTTTCAACACAAAAGATCGTTTTTTATCTTCTTGGTTTGAGTCTATAATCACGTTTGAAACATAATTTTAACTGAAAATAAATTATTTCGGAATATTTTTAAGTATCAAACGGAATTTTAAGACAAAACACTCCCACAAATATTCTCATATATTTCGAAATTGACAAAAGTGCAGACTACCAGTCCTTTTCATACTGCCAGTCCTTTTCAGACTGCATTTATTTATTACTCTCTCCCATTAAGTATTGCCAGTTGTGAAGAGAACCACACCATTGTGAATTTGATTCCACATCCAAGAGCAAAATACGTATATTCAGGAAACAGGCCACCTATAAACTATAGAACAATAAGATAATCCAACATTATTTCATTTAATAGACAGTGCATATCTGTAGCAACAAAGAACTAGTTACAGGAAAGAATCTATAACAAAAAATGGAGTCTCTAATCTGAATTCTGAAAAGAATTGATTGTCCCATCCAACATTCACTGCAGTGAAGAAAAGCTTCAAAAGCTTATCAAACATTCATCTCTTGACAGATTCAATAAACCAATCCAAAGAAAACAAAAAGGACCATGTAAAAACTCAGAATCCCAACGATTGAATACTGCATAGCTAACATATCAACCTATGATTAAGCAATAGCTGGAGGTGGTGGTGGTGGTGGCGAGGCTGGTGTTGTTGGGGTTGGACTGTTGTTACGGTTGCCGCCACCACCGTTGTTTTCCCATGGTCTAACGGTGAACAGCACCACAAACAAGATGATGACCATCAAAAGTATGATGGCATAACAAGTACATTTGCGGGTGTTTTTCTGGTAATTCCTAGCTGTTTGAAGCCTCTCGGTTCCACCTCTCACGAAAGAATTAGCCCTGTTCACATGGCTCTCTATGTCATCCAATTGCTCGCCCTGAGCCTGAACCAGAACCGCCATGTCCAAGAACACTTGGTGCAACTCCTTGAGATTCTTCTCCAAATCTTTAACAGCATCATGCCTTTCTTGAATCTCATTGATCGTGTCCAAAATTCTACCCCTCCCTTGTTCTTGAATGGCTTTCTGCAAAAAGCTCTCACTCTCTCCTGCAAATGCAACACACAAATTCCCAACAATATTAGTTTATCTTAGTCCCCAAATGTCTTCATTTTTTCTCTTGCAAAACAACTGCAAATGCTGATTTGTTAATCATGACTAGAACCAGGTATGGACCTTATAGACTCTGAAAATTTCAAATTATCACATATTTTCTATTGATAATCTGTTTTTGACTCGAAAACTTTGTAAGCTCGACACATTAGATTTGCATGTTTGATGTTTCAATTATTACTTCAACCAAAATCTACGAATTTGAATTATACAAATCTAGACTATAGTCGACACAATTCCAGAATTTTTATGGGACTATTTGATTGATAATCAAACGAAATCATCCAAGAAACTCTAGTTTGAATAATAAAAAACTTCTAAAGGGAAAAAAGAGAGGGAGATTACACTGACCTGTTGAGATCAGACGATCAAGAGTTTTCTCATCTGGGTTTTCTCCGGTGACCGTGAAATACCTTCTTTGAACAGTTTCTCTGTACTCGGACGAGATCTTTTCTCTCAACCCACTAAAACTTTCCATAGAATCCTTCAATTTCTTTCTCAGCCCATTCACAACCGAGGTCCTCGTCCGGTCGGAAGAAGAGCCCGGTCCACACCCAGGCAAGCTCCGGTTGGCCGCGTTGGAGCGGTCAAGCGCTTCCAACCTGACCTTAATAAGCTTGGCCTTCTTCAAAGCCATGGCTACATCACCATCCATCTTTGCTCTCAAATCCTTCACAGATTTCGCATTGTGCAAGGTCTTGCTTCGCTCGTGAGACGACGAAAGGTCGTCGTTTAGCCTCTCGAGTTCTTTGAGCTCGTCTTTGATGGATTCCACGTCTTCGAAGAACTTGTCGAGGTTAACACCGCCGGAGGCGGAGGAGGCCTCCGACATCTCGATTACGTGATGATCGGGGGACGCTTCTTCACTTCGAAAGCGAGAGAAAGAGCCAGAGAATAGATTGTTCATCTTCGGGTTTCAAAAACAGAGATCAGAAGGGAATGATTGGGGCAATATGTTTGGGGTATCAGGTCATAAACATGGATATTTTTCTATCAGATGAGATTCTGAGAAAGGGTTCTGAAGATCGAAGAGGCTTTTGAAGGTGGAAGGAGGAGGCTGCTGAGGAAGGTGGGATTTTGGTCAAGTTTCAACAAAGAGGGATTTGAAAGAGTCAAAATGGCATGAAATAGACATGCAGATTTGTTTATTGCAAAGACAAAGGAAACAGCTTGGAAAGTGGATGAAACGAGGGTGATGACTGAGTCAGTCAGGAACGGAGTCACATCGTTCTGTTCTCTGTTTTGGTAAGTTCCCAATGTTCATGGTGTGAAAATTGATTTGATTCAGTAGAGATTTGATTCTCTGTTTATATATTTTAGGAAAGATTTTGTTGTTGTTGTTGGCAGGGAAATCAAGAATTTGAGTTCTACCTTAGTAACTAGAAATGAGGAAACCAATTTGACTTTTTCTTTTTGTGGGATAAACTACACTAGCGATTCCTTTTTGATATTTAACATAATTGTAATAATATTTTTATTATTTTTAATTAGGTCCTTATTATATATATATATAGGGTTAAATTTCAGTTACACAATATAATATTATTTAATTTTACACAGATTTCAGACTATTGGATGAGTGAAAATAAATAGTTAAAATTGACTAATTTATTTATTTTAGTGAATATATTCACATTTTCTACTGTCAATCTCAACTATCTATTTTCACTCATCCAACGGTTCTAAATCTGTATAAGATTGAGTTTTACATTACATAATAGGATCTTATCCCATATATATATGTTTCAGGTCGGGAATGAATAAAAGTTTTCCCCTAAATATCAGGTCAGGTAAAATCCTCCTAAACTTAGGTCGGATCCGATGCGAGTGGAAGAATTTAATTTTCGAGCCGAGTAGAAGAATTTAATTTTCGAGCCAAGTCCGGGTGGATTAAAAACTTAATTTGACCCATGATCATCCCTAAATATGATTAAAATTGTAGCTTTATGGGTGTATCAAAATGGCAAAATTCTAATAGATTGAAAACTTGAGATCCGAAATGATGGGTTTTTCTGTTTTTAGATGTCAAAATAACATAATGTAAATGGAAATGAATAAATATATAAAACAAACTAATAGTGCTAATAAGGGGATTAGGAGGGAAAAAGAGCTTTAGAATGCACGATGAAACAAAAGCCGTTGCGAGGTTGCTATAAATAACCAATGTCTCTGTTAATGCCTATTTTCTTGACTATCATTTGGGTCTTTAATTTTAATTATACCATCCTCTATTGAATAAACATCTTGTTATCATCAGATCGAAGTTTGGGCCATCAACTTTTCGACGCTAAGCAAATGGGACGAATAATCCAGGTTTGGGACTTCCAACCCTTCTCTTCCTTGCTTTGATTCTAACCATTGTTATTAGGATATGAATCTAATTCTATCTGCACATGATCAATGCCATTAAACTTGTGCGTAAAAATAAAATTGTTATAAAGGGCCTCAATAGTAAAGAGATTGCAATCTTCATAGAAATTTTGGGTTCAACTAATTACGTCCACAGACTGTTTATACGCATTGTCAATAGTTGAAACCTAATTTAGCTGATGCATGTAATTTCTGCAAAAGTGATTCATTTTTCATCTTCAAGTTATGATTCAAAAGTCTTAAAAGCAACCCCACACTGCTTCATTTTTGTCATTGGAAACCAAAAGAGTTCAATTGTTAGATTCATTCGTTCTCAATCGGATTTAAGTAACTATGTATGTATGGTGTTTATTGTTGAAAATTAAACCAACTTTCGGTAGAAAGTTGGATTTAATTAATCCACCGAATGGTAAATGTCAAAAAGGGTGGCTTTGTGTTGAAAATTAACAATGGCAGAAATGCACTTTTAGTCATTGTAATTTAGGGTATTTACAAATTAGTCCTTAAGCTTCAACTATAAATACCCTAGCTCAGTTAGCTTTAAAACCATCCCAAAGCATTCTAGCTTTCTACCAATACTAGAGAGAATTTAGAGAGTTTTTTTAGAGTTGTTTTCTCCTTTTTATTAAGAGAGAATTATCATTGTTTTCTCCTTGGTAGATCGAGAGAAGTTGTAATTCCTATTTTCTCATAGTGAAATTCTTCTACCGTTGCCTGTGGTTTTTACCCTATATTATTCAGGGGTTTACCACGTAAATTTTTTATCTCTTTTTTCTTCATTTTTATTTTCTCAAATTATCAGTTGCGATTTTGCTCTATCTGATAGCCGTCTTCCGCAACAATTGGTATCCGAGCCAGATTAGAGTGTGTAATATCTGCTTATTGTTTTTGTGGTTGCCACCAAAAGGTGGATCCTCCAACATAAGAAAGTAAGAAGTTATTACCCATTCTTTGAAGGTTCTAGAGAACTATTAACGATAGTGAAATAGTGGGAGTTATCCGTAAACGAAGCAATGGTAACGAAATTTGATATTGAAAAGTTCAATAGGAGAAATTTCTCATTGTGAAAATTGAAGATGAAGGCCATCCTGAGGAAAGACGGTTGTCTAGCAGCTATCAGCGAAAGGCCAGTAGATTTCACAGACGACAACAAATGGATCGAAATGAACGGAAATGCTATGGCAAACTTTCATCTAGCATTAGCAGATGAAGTTTTGTCAAGCATCGAGGAGAAGAAGACAGCTAAAGAGATATGGGATCATCTCACCAAACTGTATGAGGCCACATCGCTGCACAATAACATTTTCCTTAAGAGAAAATTGTACACTCTCCGTATGCCAGAATCTACTTCAGTGACGGAGCACTTAAATACACTGAACACTTTATTTTCTCAGCTTACATCCTTAAGCTGTAAAATAGGAGAACAAGAACGTGCTGAACTTCTACTTCAAAGTCTACCGGATTCGTATGATCAACTCATCATCAACTTGACAAACAGTAATGTCACCAGTCTAGTCTTCGATGACGTTGCAGCTGCTGTTCTACAAAAAGAAAATCGGCGCAAGAACAAGGAAGACAGACAAGTAAATCTGCAACAAGTAGAAGCGTTGACAACGATGAGAGGGAGATCAACAGAACGTGGCCAAAGCAGCAGTCACAAACATGGTAGATCGAAGTCGAGAAGCAAAAAGAATTTAAAGTGTTACAACTGTGGAAAGAAGGGTCACTTGAAGAAGGATTGTTGGAGTCTAAATAAAAACTCCAATCCACAAGGCAATACCGCAAACACTTCAGATGATGGAGATGCTCTATGCTGTGAAGCGTCAACCACCGTAGAAGGAAGAAAACGATTTGCAGATATATGGCTCATTGATTCGGGAGCAACATATACATTGACCTCAAGAAGAGAATGGTTCCATCATTATGAACTTGTCTCAGGAGGATCTATGTATAGTTGCAATGATCATGCCTTAGAGATCGTTGGCGTGGAACCATCAAATTAAAGATGTATGATGGAACAATTAAAATTGTTCGAGATATACGGCACGTGAAAGGTCTGAAGAAAAATTTATTATCCTACGGATTATTGGATAATAATGCTAGTAAGATTGAAACACGGAAATGAATCATGAAGGTGTTCCGTGGAGCGCTTGTGGTGCTGAAAAGTGAAAAGATAGCTGCAAACTTGTACTTGCTAAAGGGAGAGACATTGCTAGAAGCAGAAGCCTCTGTTGCCTCATGTAGTTCAGATTCTGCAATGCTATGGCATAAGAAACTTGGACACATGTCAGAACAAGGAATGAAAGTCCTTGTGGAGCAAAAGCTACTTCCAGGCTTAACCAAGGTATCACTTACTTTATGTGAGCATTGCATAACAAGTAAGCAGCACCGGTTGAAATTCAACACATCAAATTCTAGAGGCAAAAGTGTTCTAGAATTGGTTCACTCTGACGTATGGCAAGCACCAGTAACATCCCTAGGTGGAACAAAATACTTTGTCTCATTTATTGATGACTACTCCAGGAGATATTGGGTGCACCCTATTAAGAAGAAGTTAGACGCGTTTTCAACTTTCAAAAACTTCAAAGCGCGGGTGGAACTTGATTCTGGAAATAAGATCAAGTGTTTCAGAACAGATAATGGAGGAGAATACACAAGCGAATAATTTGATGACTTTTGAAAGAAAGAAGGCATCAAAAGACAGTTCACAGTGGCGAACACTCCTCAACAAAATAGAGTGGCAGAGCAGATGAACAGAACCTTATTAGAAAGAACAAGAGCAATGTTGAGGGACGCAGGCCTAGAAAAATCATTCTGGGTAGAAGCAGTCAATACCGCCTGTTATTTGGTGAATCGAGCTCCATCAACTGCAATAGAGCTGAAGACACCAATGGAGATGTGGACTGGTAAACCAGTTGATTATTCAAACCTCCATGTATTTGGAAGTATTGTGTACATGATGTACAACACCCAAGAAATTTCAAAGCTGGATCCAAAATCCAGTAAATGCAAATTCTTGGGGTATGCTGATGGAGTAAAGGGGTATCGCTTGTGGGATCCCACTGCCCGCAAAGTGATCATTAGCAGGGATGTTATCTTTGTAGAAGATAACTTACAAAGAAAAGAAGACGATGACAACGCTGAAAAGTCAGAGACTACACAGATACATGTGGAAAAGGAGTTTGAACAAGGAGATTCTTCTGAAGCAGAACCAGCACATGATGAACAAGAACCAGAGAGTTCTGAAGCTCCAACAACTCATTAGTCAGATCGTGTGAGAAGACGTCCCAATTGGCACTCATATTATGTTATAGAAGAAAATGTTGCATACTGCCTTTTAACAGATGACGGTGAGCCATCAACATATCAGGAGGCAATAAACAGCTCAGATGCTTCACTGTGGATGATGTCGATACAAGAAGAAATCAAAGCCCTTCATAAAAATAATACATGGGACCTTGTGCCACTACCACAAGGAAGGAAGCCAATTGGTAACAAATGGGTTTTCAAAATCAAGCGAATTGGTGACGATCAAGT